CTCCAAAAAAAAAAAAAAAAGAAAAGAAAAGAAAAAAGAAAGAAACCCGATGGAAGGTTTTTATTTAATATTTTTAATCAAAAACAGGCAAAGAGGTACTTTTTAACTTCGGTAACTCATTTCAGTTTTTTTTTTTTTTTTTTTTTTTTGACAAAGAGTGTGTGTGCTTGCTTACATGTGAGAGAGAGACGAAGAGAGAACTCCCCAGCAGGGTATGGTTATGCGGCAGTTCAAATCCTTTTCCCTCTCCAATTGTCCGTCCTGTCAGAATCCCGAGCACGAGTGCCTGGTGTGCTCGTCAAGCCACCTGCGACCTGAATCTTTGGCAGACGACGTGGGACCTGCTTCCTCTGCATAGTGTTTAACTGTTGTGCTACAGAGCTGGCCCTCCAATTTCTGCTTTTATCTCAGGGCATACCTTTATAAGATGTTATCGTAATAATTATGTCTCCTTGCAAAGTATGTAGTATCCCACCCACCTGGTCATGGAAAGTCCAAAGGAGATCAGCAAGCAGTCAGAGGGAACTGGTGTTGACCATGAGACTCCTGAGGGCCAGACAACCAACCATGACCTCTGGGTTAGTTTGGTAACCCCAGAACAAACTTACTATAATTACTGAAGCAACACTAACTCAGACATGTCCATCTGCAAATGGAACTACAGAAACACCCATAGCTAAAGTTAAATGGGATAATCGTGAACACAAATTCTGTAAATATGATACTTAATTCATAACGTAAACAAAATTTGCCTTCTTCCATTTCAAAAACCTATTTTTTACTGTTTTCCTCTTCCCTCTCACTCTTTTTGAGAGAGAGATGGAGAGAGAGAAAGAGATGGGGTTTTTTGACAGGGTCTTGCCTCATCCTCCCAGTTAGCTGGGACCACACGTGTGTGCCGCTGTGCCCAGCCTGTTCAGGCTGAGTCAGGGACCGAACCCAGGACTCTCACGCAGCCCCAGCCATCACTCAGCAAGGCTTGCCTTGCCCTCTTTACACTTCCTCTTGCTGTTTTTCAATATTAATTTTCTATCATCATTTCTAATTTACATATTGTGGTTGTACGTACTTATAGGGAACAATTTAGTTTTCAAAACATGTATACAATGTATGTTGAATAAATCAGGATAAAAACATATTTACCATCCTCATCATTTATCATTACTTTGTGTTGGACATGCTCGGAATCTTCTCTTCTGATTATTGCAAGTTTCTTTACTCTGATGTGCTCTGGTATTCTGTACCCTCTTCCACTTTTTACATGCACTCTTTTTTTGGGGGAGAGGTTTTTGCTATAGGGCGCATGCACTCGCCAGACAGACAGAGAGAGACAGAGAGAAAGAAAGCGAGAAATCACCCCCCAGGGGGGATGGCCACACCACAATCCCTTCTCCTCCATTCTCCTCTCAGGATCTTGGGCACGCACGCACACGAGCCCGGAGTGAGTTTTAAGCCACCAGGTCCGGGACGCGAACCACAGTCGACTACGTGGAAGTCCAGCGACATAGCCATTACGCTAACTGCTTGTCCCTACATGCACTCTTGTATCTAGTAACCAAGTTCTCCTCATTCCTCCCAACCCCCTTCCCTTTCTATTTTCTGGTATCTACCATTACACTCCCTACTTCTGTACACTTATATCTTTTAGTGCCTGGCTTCATTTCCTTAGCAATATTTCCTGTTTCAATCAAATAGTTCACCAGCACAAAAGCCCCCAAATAATTCAATAAAAGAAAAGGACAATCAATTTGAACATACAGTTCACAAAAGAAAGAAGACACTCGAGTGGCTAATGAGCATATAAGAAAATGCTCAACATTACTAATTGTCAGAGAAATGCAAATTGAAACCATTATATTGTATTATCAACTCACCCAAGTTAGAATGGCTATCATTAAAAATACAAAGAATAACAAGTGCTGGTGAGGCTGAGGAGAAAAGGGAACTCTGAGGCATAGTCATTGGGAACATAAATTAATATAGCTGTTATGGAAAACAGCTAGAAAAGAGAACCACCTTATGATCCAGTAATTGCACTACTGGGAATAAATCCACAAGAACGGAAATGAACAGGTCGTAAAGATGTTTGCACTCCCATGTTTATTGCAGCACAATTCCCAATTGCTAAGCTGTGGAATCTACCTCCGTGCCCAATGCCCGATGAATGGATAAAGGGTGTGGTATGTGTGGTACACAATGGAATACTATTCGGCCAAGAGCAAGAATTTCAGACAATGAGAATGAACCTAGAGGAAATAATGCTAAGTGAAATAACCTTCTCAATCTATAGACCTCCCTCTTTGTTGACTCTGTAGTAGGCAGACTGTCTCTAAGTGGATCCATCATCATCTCTGCCTTATTAGTGCTCTTGTATGATCCCCTTTCCTTCAGGGTGGGTTGGATCTACTTGGCTTTAATAGAATGAGGTATCACTGTCCTAATTTGATTATAAGAAGACTGTGGCTTCCAGTACCAGGTGGCATAATAGTTATGTCGCTGGACTCCCACGTTGCTGACCACGATTCGAGTCCTGGATCTGGTGGCTAAAAATTCACACTGGGTGCATGTGTATGCATGCCCCAAATCCCAAGAGAAGAATGGATAAGAAGGGATTGCAAGTGGCTATCCCCCCTAGAAGATATTTCTCACTTTCTGTCTCTGTCTCTCTCTGTCTCTTTGGCTAGTGCACACACCTTGTAGCAAAAGTCTCTCTCCTCCTCCCCCCCCAAAAAAGACTGTGGTTTCCTTTTTAAGTGGTATATTTTACTCCTTGGCTCTGAGGGTATCAAGAGATAGCATAATGTGATACATGGCAAGGAACTGAGGTCTCTGGGCAACAGGCAGTAAGCTCCTGGGGCCTGTTACTAGTCCTAAGAGGAAACTTGGGGCTGGGAAGTAAAGTCTCCTAGTCAAGCCTTGAGATAGCTATAGCCCCACTAGTAGCTTGGTGGCCTCATAAAGGGATCTTGGCTGGAAGACACCTGATGAAAGTGCGCCTGGATTTTTGATCTACAGGAAGTGTAACATAATGTGTGTTTGCTTTTTGAAGCCACCGAATTTTAAGATAATTTGTTTTATAGCAATAGAGAAAGAATAGCCCTTTTGTAGAAGCTTTCCCATTCTGAGGAAACTAAAGTGAATGAAAGGCGTGGAGCTCAAACATTAACATAAAACAATAATAACTTCAACATTGTAAGGCTGTCTTCAAACTACTCTTTACCATTATGTGTTAAAAGTTCTAAAACATGTTAATTCCCAAAATTCACGTATCAATATCCTAACCATCAGTACTTCTGAATGTGACCGAATCAGGAAACAGGGTTGTTTCTGGTTTGATTCATTAAGATGAGGTCATAGTGGAGAAGGATGGGCACTGAATCTAGTGACTGGTGCCCTTGTAAAAAGGGGAAATTTGGACACAGACATGCACACAGCTAGCACACCACCTGAGAGAGACAGGGAGAAGACAGTCAAGCCGTCTACAAACCAAGGGGAGAGGACTAACACGTTTTTCCCTCACAGACCCCAGGAAGAACCAACTATGCTTATACCCCCTTCTGGAACATCTTTGTTATTTATGTTACCCAGCTTGTGGTATTTTGTTAGGCAATCCTAGCAAACTAATGCACATTTATTCTTTTTATTGCTAGACAGCATGTGTGTGCACCAGAGAGACTGAGAGGGACAGAGAGAAAAAGAGAGGGAAAAAGCACTCTCTGAGGTTGATTTGAGGTGTGATCCTACCCCAATCCCCTCTCCTCCATTTCACCATTCTTTCCAGATTTGAGCATGCATGTATATGCATCTGGAGTGTTGTGTTTATACATATACATGTATATATATATATATACAAATATATTATATATGCATATTATATATGTTTATATATATTATATATATTTACATATTCAATCACTATATTTAAATCAAGCTGCTAGGACTGGGATCTAAATCACAGTTGATCATGTGAGACCTGAGTCCCTTAAACATCAGACTACAAGGCCAGCCCTACATGTACATTTTCCAATTTACTCTTCACAAATCTGTGCAATAAGAGAGGCTCCTTTGTTGATTAAGAATAACATGAAGCCATTAGTTTTCTTTCTTTTTAAATATATATTTTCTTTTTCTTTCACTAGAGGGCGCCCATGTTTGCCAGACAGACAGGAAAGGCGAGGAGAAAGCACCTCCTACATAGTCACTCACACTGCAATCCCTTTTATTCCATTTCTTCCTTCTTTCAGGATTTTGAGCACACATACACAAATGCCTCGTGTGTTTCTCAAACTACTGGGTCCAGGACTTGAACCACAAGGTCGGCCATGTGGGATCTGGCTTCCTTACTATCAGGCTAAGAAGCTGGTCCCTGGATTTTCTTAAAATTGACTTTCATAATTTATTTTTAAGGTGTTAAGATCTGGGAACTACAATTTATTTTTCTTTCTATAAACGCCAGGACTTGCTCTGTTTTTCAGCAGTCGCTGGACTTCAGCATGAAGATTGCACAGTTGCTCATCTCTATGGCAGTTTTGGTTTCCTGTGTCTTAAACGCCAGCTCCCTGGATACTTTTATTGCAGCTGTTTATGAGCATGCCATTACATTGCCTAATGCCACCCTAACACCAGTGTCTCGGGAAGAAGCGTTGGTTCTAATGAATCGTAATCTGGATCTTTTGGAAGTTGCCATCACATCGGCAGCAAAACAGGTACCGACTCTTCTATTTCTCCAGGGTGCTGGGTTCTGTGGGAAAGGACCAGGTCTGAAAAGACAGGGTCACTGTCAGGGCCAGCTACACTGTGGGATGACATATGTGTCAAGGCAGCCAAGGACTTTTGTGTTACAAGTACAGTCCTACTCTGCCCTGAAAATTATTACAGCAAGGATGTTGTTACACCTCCCTAACAGTGAGAGCAAAGTTAAGAGAAGAATGATTTGGTCATCATTTAGAAGCAACAGACCTTTGAAGAACTTGCTGTCAATTCTACATCTCTGTTTTTCTCTTCTGCTACAGACGGAGGATGGGAACTAAAAAAAGTCAGGGACCGGGTGCTATTCTTACTTGGAATCCTCTCGTGCTCTTAAAAGGTTATAGATTTTTGGCTGTTTATAACCTGAAAACAATCAAACTTCAGTTATAAATGACTTACCACTATGTATTATATACCGTACACTTCTTTCTATGTACAGATAAAAATATATATGTGTATTGCAAATGGAGTCAGGATGGCTTAGTCTGGCTCTCACACTTCCTGTCTTATTATGTTTGAAGACCACAGAGTAAACAACTTACGTTATTAGTTGTGTGCTTGTTATGTAATTGTGACTTTGCTGTTTTTTTTTTTTTCCCCCCCAAGAAAAGCAGTTTTAACTGTAGTACATCAAAGAAATGCTAAGGAACTTTGCTTAAAACTTAAAGCCAGGAAACAGGTTAGGATTCTGTTCAAATAGTAGGTACATGAACCTATCGACAGGTCAAGAAAGGACAAAATCCTTAAAACTGGAAAACAAAACCTAGAAAAAAAATCAGCAATGTTTTAGTCAAAAGTCATAAAATGCTATTTCACCAGTTCAGTCTCATGTAATTAATCTATCTTCTGTTGTGGTTCGATCTTCTTGATTAAATTCTGGGATATAATATTCAACTCCAGACTTGTCCCTATGATTAAGTTGGCCATTTTCTTAGTTTTTGAACTCTTATTTCTGTGTGTCTGCATTTAATTTTCCTAATGTAGCACTCCCTTGAGAACTTGGAGATATGATCTGGTGCTGGTAAATTCTTTCAGGTTTTGTTTATCTGAGAATGTTCTTGTCTTTTCTTCCCATATGAAGGATAATCTTGCCCAGTACAGTATTCTTGGTTGAAATTGTTTATCCCTTAACACTTGGAATATATTTTCCTATTCTTTCCTTGCTCGCATTGTTTCTGAAAAGAGATCTGCTATTAGCCTGATGGGATGTCCTTTGTAGGTAACTTGACGTTTCTCTCTTGCCAATGTTAGTATCTTGTCTTTGTCTGTGGTTTATTCTATTCGGGGTCCTTTGTATTTCTTGGGACTGGATTTTTGAGTGCCCCTCTAGGTTTGGAAAGTTTTCCTGAAGGATTTCATGGAGTAGATTATCAATGTCCTTATGAGTCTCTTTGTTTTCTGGGATACCAATTATCCAGATGTTTGGATGTTTGATGGTTTCTAGTATTTCTCATATAGTATTCAAATTTTTGGGGGGCAATTTTCTCAGTCTTCATGGTGGATTTTTCTAGGCTGGCAAATTTCTCTTCTACGTCTGAGATTCTATTTTCTGTATGATCTAGTCTGCTTTTAATACTTTCAAGGGAGATTTTGACTTCCTGTATTATAGCCTTGATCTCTATCAGGTCTCTTTTTTCCCTGAAATCACTAGTCCTCCATGACTTTGCTGCCTTATTCCTTTGAATGTAATGCACATGTGTGTGTGTACCACAGTCTGATTTTAGCAATGGGCCACTATTGTCTACATCTCATTTTAGGAAAAGGGAACCCCTGGCCAGCTGGCTAGCCCTGTTCTGCTCTGCTTGGCCTTGGTTCCGCTAGCTCAGCCCTGGTGACCTGGGTTCTGCAGAGCCTTGACTCACTCGACCCAACTCCACACTGTGAGTTCTGAGAGGAAGGAAGCACTTCTGAGCACTCTTCATATGAATTATAAGCTCCAGGAGGAAGGAAGCATCTAGTGAGTGCTACCAGAGCTCCCACCAAGCTCAGCCAACAAACAACTTGACATCAGTGCCTCATGTCTTTGTCCAACTCCCTGCATCTCTGTCTTCTTCCACCCTTCCAAGGAGGAAAGAATCTCGCCAAGCAATATGTAAATATATAATAAGTCCCTGAGCTGAAATGAAGACTACGCTTAGAGCTAATCATATAATATAAGTGTGTGCTTTGAAGGAACATGGTTTAAATAAAATATTTACAGGGTCCAGGTGGTGGTGCTGAGGTAGTACAGCTAGACCCACATGAGAAAGTTTCTCAGTTCAAATCCCAGGACCACCTGGGTGCTTGTGCCTACGATCTGGGTTGACTGAGACTGATCACACATGATGATCAGTCATGTTGGGGCACCCATTTCTCTCTTTCATGGAAAAAAATAAACTTGAAAAACATAAGATACTCAGACATCAGGGATACATGAAGAGTGGTAAGTAAAAACTATATACATATTGGATCTTCGGAAAAGTCATGATGTATTTTTCTATGCAAAAATGCATCATGACTTTTCTGAAAACCCAATACATGTATCTCTCAATATATATTTTTAGATATGCTACAACTTAAGCTTATTAGGAGTTCTGATGTTCTTTTTCACCCTTAATCTATTTTCTTAAAAGACTATAACAGATTTTAAGGTGATTCTCTAATCCAATGGTGCCCAGTTTAACTCAGGGAGTACCTCTAGGCATGAAAAATCATATAAATAAATTTACATATATTTATATGTATATATATGTGCTTATATACATACATACACACACACACACATATTTCATTTCACCAAAGGGCACATGCACTCACCAGAGAAATAGAGAGAGAAGGCACCCCCCCCCAAAAAAAATTGGGTGCAGTCATGCTGTAATCCCATCTTCTCCCATTTCTCCATCCCATCAAGATTTTGGGCATGCACACACACACTGGTCTGGCAGTTCTCAAGCCACTAGAGCTGGGGGCTGAACCACATAGTCAACCAAGTGGAGTCTGGCTACCTTAACCACCAGGCAACAAGACTGGCCCTGAAAAGTATAACATCTATGAAAGAATGGAAATGTTACAAATGATGATGGCAAGATAAAAAAATTAAAGTGCCCAGGAAGGGACAAGCAGATGGTATAATAGTTATGCTGCTAGACTCTCACATAGTTGACCCTGGTTCAAGTCCCAGATGCGGTGGCTTAAAACTCATGCCAGGTGCTTGTGGGTGTGTGCCCAAAACCCCAAGAGGAAAATGGAGGACAAGGGATTGCTGCATGATCATCCCCCTGAGGGTGATTTCTTGCTTTATGTCTCTCTGTCCTTCTCTGTGTCTCTGGTGAGTACACATGCCCTATAGCAAAAATCTCTGAAAAAAAAAAAAAAAAGCCCAGGGAAAGAATATAAATTATAAAAATAAAAAAAAAAAAGCAAAGAATAGATTGAAAGGGTAAAGAAAGCCTGAATGGTTTACACTCAGTCATTAGTTACTCAGTTTCTCTTGCAGACCTCCTCTTTGATTTTTGCCTATTTGAAAAATATTTAAACTGAACTATCTTTTTAACAGGGCGCACATATTATTGTGACTCCAGAAGATGCTATTTATGGCTGGAACTTTACCAGGGAAACTCTCTACCCATACTTGGAGGATATCCCGGATCCTCAAGTTAACTGGATCCCCTGCAATGATCCTAACAGGTAAAGCAACAGATTGTGAACAATTCAGTTGAGAACGTCAACTTGTTTTCTTTTTTTGTTCTTTTTAAACCTGAGAAAACTTTGTTAAATACTATTGCATAGATCCACTATCAACTCTAAGCTTCAAGATAGTCCATTTTCATCTACTGTGGATATGTTTGCTAGGAAAATGAACATGAATTATGAAATCAAAGTAACCAGTGCTGGATGGCAGTAGCTTAGTGTAAATATCTTTTCATCGAGGGAATGAGTCTGGAGAGATGACAGCAGAACTTGCTTAGGGTCACAGATGTAGTCAGTGAGAGAATAAGATTTGTTCTCTGGCTCCTTCAGTGACCGAGAATATTTTCCTATCTGGGTCTGAAATTTGAAAACTGCATGAGTAGAGTTACATGCCAGGTATAATTAATAATTTTCCTCTCTCTGATAATATAGTTGATGAGTTTCAGGTAGTAAAATCCATACTTAAGCTGATTGTTTACCTAGGAAGTGATAGAGCAGAACGGTGTCAGTGGTTTAAATCAGGTATGGACTAAAGAGATATGAGTGTGATAAAAGCAGTACCACTAATTTTTTTTAATTGCCAGAGGGCACCTATGCTCATCAGAGAGAGACAGAGAGAAAAAGCACCCCCTCATGGGGTCTGGTCATGCCAAATTCCCTCTCCTCTAGTTTCTCTATCCTGTCTGGATTTGGGGCGTGTACTCATATATGCCCAGAATGTGTTTCAAGCTAGTGGGGGTGGGATTTGGACTACAGCTGACCATGCGGGATCTGACTTCCCCTAACCTCTATGCTACAGAGACAGCCATCACATATAATTTTAATGTAAGCAAACCAGTATCTTTTTTTTTTTTGAGAGATTTTTGCTATAGGGCACGTGTGCTCGCCAGACAGACATAGAGAGACAGAGAGATAGAAAGTGAAAAATTATCCCCCAGAGGGGATGACCACGCAGCAATCCTTTCTCCTCCATTCTCCTTTCAGGATCTTGGGCACGCAGGCACACATGCCTGGTGTGAATTTAAGCCACCGGGTCCGGGACTCGAACTGTGGTCGACTATGTGGGAGTTCAGCGACATAGCCATTACACTAACTGCTGGCCCCAAACCAGTATCTTATATACCTCAAATAAGTAGGTCTGAGAATCATGTTAGTTAACAGACTTCATTTCAAATATATCATGGCTAAAATTATTTGGAAATTCCTCTTTTAAAACTGCTCTCAAAAACCACACAACCTGGGGGGTGGGGAGGGTGGAGAAAAAAACACACACATACAAACTACTTTAACTACTTAGAGAGAGAGAGAGAGACCTTGATTTTGACAAAGTTAAATATTATTTATCCTAATCATTCACTTTATTTGCAGTTCATTGTTAGATAATTATTTTGTATTGAATCTTCTTCTATGCCAGATCTTCAGTTTCTAGAAGGCCAGAATTCTAGTATCAATTATATTATGAAATGATTGACTCGTTCGTGAGTGACCTTTCCCTAGAAGCAAATTCCCAAGGGCTTCTTGAATATTCTCATGAGGATATCATACTTGTTCCATCTCAAGGTGCCTGGGTGCCCTCTTACTGTTTTCCATCAACAGAGACCATCTCTACTCCTTGCCTTTACTCATTACTTGAACAAATGGCTTGAGTACCTATTTATCCCCAAGTACTGTTATGGGCAGAGTGGTTGACAAAACAAATTAAAAATCCCATCCTCATGGAACTTATATATTAATGTGGGGGAGATGACGCAGGGTGAGGAGAGCAGTCAGATTGGCCCGAGGCTCGCTCCACACACCCATTCCTTCCTGTAAGTGGATTCTGAGCATCCTTTAGGTGTTAAGCACTGGGTTAGGTCTGAAGATTTAGAAATGGATAAAGTGCTACTTTGGGGGCTGGAAAGTGGCAAAATGGTTAAGGTGCTGGGCTCCCATATGGCCAACTGTGGTTTGAGTCCCAGATCTGGCATCTTGCTTTCTCACTTTCCCTTGTCAAGTTGAATAATAAAAAATAAAACAAACAAACAAACAAATAAATAAATAAATAAAATTATCTAGCTATTTAGTTGTCTATCTTTTGGGATTTATCATCTATCTACCTATGTGTCACATGCAATGGAGATAAATGACATGGAGAAAAATAAAGCAGGGAAGATAATTATGGTGGTGTGTGGAGAAAAAAAGAAACCAACTCAGACTCCATTTCTCCTATTATGTGCTCACAACACGCATCCCTACTGTGATTCCCAAATGTGTGGGGACTTTCTCCCACCAGCAAGCAAGTGGCTAATTCTGCAGTAGACATCATCTGGGATATTCTAATCCAATTCAATTCTGTCACTGTTCATTCAGAGGTAGGTCAGATCCCACAGATTGAGGACTCATTCCCACAAGACTGACCCCACTCAGACATCAGTCACAAGTCCAGGCCTCGAGAACTCATCAACTACCTACAAATTGGAGTTCCCCTGAGCCCCTTTTTAAGTCTCAATTAATTTGCCAGAGCAGCTTACAGAACTCAAGGAAACACATTTACTGATTTATTAGAAAGGATATTTAAAATGATACAAATTAAACAGCTAGATGAAGAAATACGTAAGATAAAACCAAGAAGAGTTTTCCCAGTTTGGGAGCTTTTATTGCCGATGGTCTGCTCTACCCTCCTGGCATGTGGACTAGTTCTTATTCACATTCCTGCAGGCCTCCACATGTTCAGCTCTCTAGAACCTCACTGCATATGTGTAATCGAAACTTGGCCAGCCAGGTAGAGATGGGATTGGACAAAAAGGACATGAGCTAACGCGGATGGAGTGGGTAGGAAAATCCAGCAAGGCCGGTCTGTCCAGATCGTTCCCTGATCTGTGCAACATTCTTCCCTCCCAGTTAGGGTGCAAGGTTCCTCTGGAATGAGGGTCTAAATTTCTTTATGACCAGTGCTATGGCCTGTCTTGGGAAGCTTCAGGAACCAAGGACAGAAGACCAAGTCAGGAATTGTGGATGAAAACCAAAACACACACACACACACACACACACACACACACACACACATATAATCATAATATCACAGGTGGGAAGTGTGGGGCTGAAATCATTACTTTTTTAGGTTTATTTATTCTGAGAGGAAGAGATAAAGAGAAAATCCCCAACAGAGTCTTCATGCCAAGATTTACCTCCAGCTTTAATCAGCCCTGTAGCATGGGTACATGTGTGCCCAGAAAACTCAGGAAGGTGTCTGTATGTGAACTGGTGATCTTCCCATGTGGTCTGTCCCACAGAGCACTGCCTTTTACCACTGCTCCACTGTCCAGTCCCCGGGGCTGAAATTTTTAATAGGTCATCGGAGGGCTTCGGGGTGATGTTTAAGCAGAGACCTGAAGGAAGTGAAAGAGCAGTCATGGGGTGCTTAGAAAAGTACCAGAAAAACTGCCATTGAGGGGATTCTGAATTCTAAGATCCTGTCATCAGAGTATGTGTCTAGCATGAGAGCAGTAAGAGGGGTGGTGTGAAGTGATTTGAGGGGAAAAGTAGGAGATGGAGGCAGATATGTATGAGGGGCCTGACTGCAGACATTTCATGGCTGTTGTGTGCGAAGGTAGCCATTGGAGACTGACACTTTGATCTAAGTTCTGTGAGGATGACTCTGGCAGCCATGGGGAGAATAGGCTCCAGGGGGTGGAGCAACAAGAGAAGCAGAAGACTTAAAATACCATGGCAGTGACCTAGGCAGAGAGATGGCAGTGTTTTAGACCAGGACGGTGGAAGTTTAGGTATTGAGAAATGACCTAATTCTAAGTAAAGTTTAAAGGTAGGACTGACAGCTTTTGCTGGTAGTTTGGATGTGGGATGTGAGAGAAAGAAGTCAAGATCATTTACTCCTTTTTTTGGGGGGAGGTTTTTTGCTATACGGCGTGTGCTCGCCAGACAGACAGAGACAGAGAGACAGAAAGAGAGAAATCACCCCCCAGGGGGGATGGCCACGCTGCAATCCCTTCTCCTCCATTCTCCTCTCGGGATCTTAGGCACGCACGCACACGTGCCCAGTGTGAGTTTAAGCCACTAGGTCCAGGACTCGAATCGCGGTCGACTACATGGGAGTCCAGTGACATAACCATTACGCTAACTGCTGGTCCCCCTTCCCTTCCCTTCGCTTTTCTCTTCCCTTCCCTTCCCGTTCTTTCCCTTCCTCTTCCCTCTTTTCCCCTTTCCTTTCCTTTCATATTTAAACTTTACTTATTTTCAAAAGGCTAATTTTTTTTTTCCTAGTAAATCTAATGTAATTAAAAGGCAGAGTGGAAGAGCCAGCAGGTGGTATATTGGTTAAGGTGCTGAACTCTTGTATAGTCAACCACAGTGTGAGTCCTGGATCTGGCAGCTTGAAACATGCCAGGTGTGTGTATGTGCCTGCTTAAAATCCTGAGAGGATAATAGAGGAGAAGGGATAGCCATCTCCACTGGAGAGTGATTTCTTGCTTTCTCTCTATCTCTGTGTCTCCACTGAGCACCCATGGCCTATAGCAAAAATATCTTCCTCCAAAAAGAGAGGATAGTTTAGTTATAAAAGCAAATTGGAAGCCACGTGAATAAAGTAGAGGAAGTAGTTGTTACGTGGCATCATGACTGTAGAGCTGATAATTACAACTGAACATGAAGTATAATTGTGAGTTTCAGGGAAGCTAAGAAAGGAACAATTTGGCTCAGAAGTTTTCATTGCCTCATATAAGAAAGTTTTCATATTTCTTCAGAGATAAATGATGTCCATAATCTGACTCAAAAATGAATTTACTTCAACATTTTTTTATTGTACTTCTTCTGTACCAGAGACTCCACTATATGAATATGTAGGTATCCTTGAATAATGCAATGCTGTACTACAGTGAATATCTGCACCTGTATCAAGGCGATTAGGCTTGCAAATTAAGAGTCACATCTTAATTCAATTAAAAAAAATTTTGCCTTAGAGCCAGGTAGTGGCACAGCAGTAAAAGTGATATTCTGTCAGGCTGACTCTCATGGCCTGGAGACTTCCCTGACTTACCATACATGTGCATACTCATAACCCAGGGTTCACTGAAACTGGATGTCAACTGTGGCATGAAGACCCTATTGGAGGTGCTATCTTTTTCTCTGTCTCTTTCTCTGTCTCTTTCTCTCTCATAGAGGAAATACATAGAATTAACAACAAGAACAAAAAACTTGTGTAATTAGATAACTGTATGGAAAGGTATTTGAAAATTGATTATATTTTGTACTGTTATTTCAGAGCTTTGGGTGTGCATATTGCTTCTCCAATAAGATTAGTTTTAAGTGAAGCAACCTTGTCTTTCACTTTTGTGCCTCTTGCGTCACACACTTGCACAGCTCTGCTTGGAATGTCCCTTCCCCAGATGCCCCGTGCCTAGCACAATGCTTTGTGATGTAAGGGTCAACAAATACATGTCGACTCTTCAATGTGCAGTCTTCTGAAGTTAGGAAATGTCTTTGAGAATCGATTTTTAGAGAATAAACACTTTGAGAGGAGCCTTAGAAAACGCCTTTTTATTTTTTGTTTCGCTTCCTACTTTTGTTTCTAGAACAATAACTCTACACACATAAGGACTTAGCAAATATTATGGATAAAGTGACAGGCAGAGTTCAGGCCCACATAAACACACGGCATCCCTTTTTGTCTTTTGTGAAGGGGCATGTGCTCTAGCTAAAGAGAGACAGAAAAAAGAGTGAGAGGGAGGTGATAGCATCCTCACGGGACATGGTCATGCTACAATTCCTCCTCCATCTCGACCTCCCTTTAGAATGAAGTAGGTTTATATTGTACGATCATCACTACCACCCATCTCCAGAAATCTTTCTATCTTTTAAAATTTAGTAAACAGTAATTTCCCATTCTCCCCTCCCGCCAGTCCTTGGCAATCACCATTCTACGTTCTCTATGGATTTGACTTTCCTAGGTAGCTGATGTAAGTTGAATCACACAGTTGTCTTTGTGACTGACTTTCATTGATACTTATTTATGTATAGTGTCCTCGAGGTACATTCATGATATAGCATGTGTCAGAATTCTCTTATTTGTTAAGGCTGAAGAATATTCCATCACATGAATATATCACATTTGGCTTATTAATTCAGGTGTAGATGGACACTTGAGTTGCATCTACTTTTTTACTATTGAATATGGGTATCTGAGGCTGTTTTCAATTATTTTGAGTATATACCCCAAAATAGAATTTCTGTATCATATGGTAATTCTATTTTTATTGTTTTTACGTTTTTGAGAAACTTCCACACTGGTTTCTACTGTGTCTACACCATTTTTTATTCCCCCAGTAGCACACAAGCATTTCAATTTCTCCACATTGTGTTAACATCTATTATTTTCTCTTTTTTCTTTGTTTGCTTAATTGATGGTGGCTGTCCTAACGGGTATGAGGTGATAGCTCATTGTGGTTTTGAATTAAATTTCCCTAAGAATTTGTGATACTGAGCATCTTTTCATGGGCTTATTGGCCATCTGTGTTAAACAAATGTTTCTTCATATCTTTTTGCCTATTTTTTTTTTTTTGAGAGATTTTCACTGTAGGGCATGTGCGCTCACCAGACAGACAGAGAGAGACATAGAGACAGAAAGTGAGAAATCACCCCCCAGGGGGGATGGTCACGCCGCAATCCCTTCTCCTCCATTCTCCTCTCGGGATCTTGGGCACGCACGCACACGCGCCTGACGTGAGTTTTAAGCCACCGGGTCCGGGACACGACCGCGGTCGACTACGTGGGAGTCCAGTGACATAGCCATTACGCTAACTGCTGGTTCCTTCTTTTTGCCTATTTTTGAATCAGTTGTGATTTTGTTATTGAGTTCCAAGAGTTCTCTATATATTCTAGATATTAATATTTAATGTCATTCTTTGTCTCATGACACTTTTCAAAAAATTTGTCAGAGGGGAGAGACAAAGACAGAGATAAAGTGAGAGAGAGAGATTGAGCATAAACACCCCAATGGGGCAATGTCACACTGCGATCCCTTCTTTTCCATTTCTCCCTACTGTTGGGATTTTAAATACACACACACATGTTCCCAGCAAGTTTTTCAAGTCACCAGGCCTGAGATTTGAACTTCACAGTCAGCCATGTGGTGTCCAGCTCCCTTAACCACAAGGTCATAGGCCAGCCCTTGCCACTTTTTAAAATTTAAACTCTGTTTTGTCTGCACCTCCTTGATCAGAGGCAGCAATTCATTAAGAGCCCACAGATTCCTGGTATTTGGAAGACAGGGTCTTATTGCCCACCCTGCTTCCATAAGCTGCCAGCAAGCAGCTCTAGGAGCATTTATATCACTGCCTGGCACAGGACTGAGGATGGGCACAGGTGGTTACTGCTGAGCCGAGACCTTCGACAGACTGAAATTAATCACAATTTACCCCCCAAGGCTTATCCTGGAAGTTGCAAGCCTTTGAATAGATTTCAGAGTTCCAAAATATAATAATTACATCAGATGGATTCTGAGAGTGCCGTTAATTGTCCAGGGGAGATAGAGTCCTGCTACTCCCTACTCTGCCATCTTCACAGGAACTTCCCAAGTTCTGGTTCTCTCATTCAAAATGTTTTTCCTTTTTATTTTTTTAACAGGTTTTTGCATTAGGGCACATGCACTCGCCAGAGAGAGACAATGAAAGGAAAAGTGAGAAATCATCCCTTGTGGGGTTGGCCAGGCAGCATCCCCTTCCCTTTCATTCTCTCCCCAGGATCTTGGCCACACATCCACACAGACCTGGAGTAACTTTGAAGCTACTGGGTCTGGAACTTGAACAGCAGTCAGCCATGTGGGAGTCCGTTGGTGTAACTGCTACACCGATCTGCTGGCCCTCAAAATGTTTTTAGATAACTCTTTTCTGGTGTGCATGGGCTTAGTGAACGTGATACAAGGGTCTTTGCCCCACATTACTGATAGGATGCTGGAGACATTATCAGATAGAAACGTAAGTGAATATGTGGTTATAGATTATGATAAATCCTATGAAGAAAAAATATGGCCTAGAATCTTATCCTAGAGTAATTTTCTACAAGTAAATTCCACAGAGCTTGGGCTTCCTCTAAACTTACTTCTTGTCTTAGTCCTTTTTCTTCTTTTTTTATCTACTGTTATTTGAATTCATTTTTGTGTCTCTCTCAACTAATAGGTTCAGGTGACTACCACTCTGAATTTCATTAAAGACTAAGCTTGATGGGGCCGGCAGGTTGTATGGCGGTTAAGGGTGCTGGACTCCTACATGGCTGACCACGGTTCAAGTCCTGAACCTGGTAGCTTGCTTTGCTACTTTCCCTTTCTCTCTCTCTCTCTGGTCAAACTGAAAAAATAATAATAATAGATGAGTAGCTAATTCTTAGAAATAAAAACCCAAGTTAGATTTAATTTTTTTTTCTTTTCCAATGAATGTATTTACCAGGTTTGGGCATGCCCCAGTACAAGAAAGACTCAGCTGCTTGGCTAAGAGCAATTCCATCTACGTTGTGGCAAATATTGGAGACAAGAAGCCATGCAACACCAGTGACTCTGAGTGTCCCCACGATGGCCGCTACCAATACAACACTGACGTGGTGTTCGATTCTCAGGGACAACTGGTAGCACGGTACCATAAGGTGGAATTAATTTTCAGATAATTCAATTATGAAATGCTTAATGATTTAAAGTGGGCAAAAAAGGAAAAGAAATTGTTGTAGCTACTAATAAGTGTATTTTAGAAGCAGAGTAGTAGTAGATCATAGAAAGTAGTGGTGAGTGGTGATAAGCTCCTGTACAGAGACTCAAGGTGTCTCCTGTGCATTTAGGAACACAGAAGTGTGTTGTTGGGAGTTTGTGAGAGTTAACAGGTGCTAACTGCATTAAAATAAGATGTTGTGTTTTGATCTTTGTCATTTTAAAGACATGTCCTTGTAGTGGGTGAAGACTAGAATAAAAAAACTCTTTATCAGATAGATTTGGTCTTGAAGAGAAAGGAGCACACACAGTTCTTGGCCCACAGAAAGTAGTTAGGGTTGCAGCAAATTGAAGTGATCCACTTCACTGCTGTGTCTTGTAAGACTCAAGAGGGTCTTGAAAGATACGTCCATCTGTGTACATGTCTATGAAATGTGGAGTTTCAACTGGAGTACTGTACTTTTTTCTCTGTGGAGAAGTGACCATAAATACATGGTTGGCACTGTCTAATAGATGTGAACTTGCATGTTTTTGGACACAGTGGGGGACAGAACTACATCTTAAGTCAATTTCTTTCCCTCTGTCTTTTGTGTATTGAAGCAAAACCTATTCATGGGTGAAGAGCAATTCAATAAACCCAAGGAGCCTGAGGTGGTGACTTTCAACACCTCCTTTGGAAGGTTTGGCATTTTCACTTGCTTTGATATACTTTTCCACGATCCTGCTGTCGCCCTGGTGAAAGACTTCCTCGTGGACACCATCCTCTTCCCAACAGCTTGGATGAATGTTTTGCCACATTTGTCAGCTATTGAATTCCACTCAGCTTGGGCTATGGGCATGGGGGTCAATTTCCTTGCATCCAATATACATTACCCTTCAAAGAAAATGACAGGTAATGTGTGATCTTTAACCTTTATAGGCTTGATGGGATCAGAAAAAAAAAAACAAAAAAAAACACATTTTTTTTCTAGCTAACATGTCCTCCTTAATACAATGTTTCCTAATTATTAATTTTTTAATATTAGCTGGTGACATGCAATGGAAACAGTTTCAATCTAAACTGTGTAGTATATTTAGTTTTATTCAACTTGACTGTGTCCTCTTTTTCTTTGTTTCCAAGTTCCTCTCTTCTTACTTGAAACTCTTGACTTCTTGGTTTCTTACTTTATTGGATTTTCTCTTGCCTCTCTGTTTCTTAGCACGTTTTACTGAAACTAAAGAAGTACATCACTTAGAGGGGTCCATAATCCCTGGGCTGTGGACCAGTGCTGGTCTGTGGCCTGTTGGGAACTGCCGCACTTCCATCAGCTGTGCAGTGTAGGGTGGACTTCGGGTGAGCTATTGAGGCTTCATGTGTGTTTACAGCGACACACGATTGCTCCTGGGGTCTGCCTTCTGTCCACACTTTGTCTCCTGGGCTCTGCCTCCTGTCGATCAGTAGCCATACTGGATTTTCAAGGGAGCCTGAACCCTGTGGTGTGATTTTTCCATTGTGTGTAGCAATGTGGTGGTGGGGGAAATGGGGTGCATGGGGGATGTGGTGCAC